GCATATATTTCACAATAATAATAATAATAATAATAATAATAATAATAATAATAATAATAATAATAATAATAATAATAATAATAATAATAATAATAATAAAAATAAAAGAATACATATAGCTTATTGACAAAAGAGGAAATTGCATCTTTAAAGCAAGAGATAACATGAAATTCAAATGCTACCTACACTTTTTTGTGGTGGGGTGCTTCTTTTTTAAATATATATTATCAAGCTAAAAAGCTTCTGTGTGCATGAAAAAGGCATCCCTCACATTATGCATCTTTTCTTCCATGCTACTAAGTCTGAAACTCTGCTTCTCCAGGTCGTGTTTTAACGTTATTACCTGTAAATTATTATCAGGTGACCAATTTGTGGTTAAAACAATAATTAATTAGATTGGCAGTTTCCCTCGTCATAATACAATGAGATAACTACAAAATTATTCTTCCATTTGTTCTCTTGGGTTTCATCTCTAGCCTACCTACCCCAACTTGCTTGGGACTAAAAGGCTATGATGTTGTTGTTGTTGTTGTTGTGAGCCTTATATAAAAAAAGTGGTCCAGTTGGTAAATGGTTATCACATAATATTCTCCTTGAAAGGCAGTAAATGAGATTCCAGGCAAGTGAATATAGTTCTTGATGTTGGTTGTGAAGAAAATATTAAAACCTGAGTATCATCTTGCAAAACAGGCTGCCTTGCTTCCAATTCTTGAACCTGGGACAATAAATACTGCCTTTCCTTTCTAAAGATGTGATTGTGGCCTCCATCTCTAAAGCAAGCACTTCCAGCTTCTTGTACTCCTATTTAGAAAGACAGCACCTATGGTTAATGTTATAAGGACAGACAAACATACTGCATAATAAATATTAACTAAATCAAACAATCAAAAGTTTGAAAAATGCATTATATCCTCTTTCATTCCTTCCCCTCAAAGAACTACATGGCACTAATGAAAATTATCCGAGCATAAAACGATCAACATTAATTGACATATGGTGCCCAGCTATGAGATTTTTCTAACTATTTTCTCCAAGCTCTCACCCGCTCTAAACATGCTGGTCAGGGACTTGCAAAAACATAATGCTGTTTATTGAAGGAATAATTCTGTACATAGTGTAATATTTCATTTGCATATATCTGATCACCTCCAGCTCAGACAAATTAGACCCTTTGTTACGTTTATAATAAAAAATATTTGAGCCCTTGTCCATAATTGAATCACGTCTTCTGCCAATAATAGACTCGCGCTTGCTCATGTCACGCTCAAGCGTAGCCTTGCCTTCTGGCATTGCACTTTCTTACGTTCTCTCTCTGCACACGCCTTCTCACCCTGAGATCAAGCAAAGTGCGTTCATGGGCAAAACTTCAGGACAAAAAGCATATGGAAATAATAAGTCAAAAAATTGGGTTAGACCTCGAGCTTTGTTTTCTCCTGCACAGCATTCTTGAGCTTGAATTCTGTATCTTTTAATTTTGATTTTGCTTTCTCCAATTCCTTTTTGATATTTTCTTTTTCTTTCGCTAAGGCACATGTTGATAAGAATGAAATTTCCATTTGGAGCATTTGAAGTTGACACTGAAGTTCTGTCTTTTCAGCTTCCTGTTTCTCGTTAAGTTCCTTCAGAAAAGAATCGGCAAGGTAAAAATTGCTGACTATGCAAACAAGAAAAAGGTGAAAATGAAGTAAATTAACTCACCATGAATGCATTTCTAGATTCTCGAACTTCTGAGTTTAATTCTTCTATCCGACTATGAAGATCTGAAGCTTGATTGATAAGAACAAGCTATATCTCAACAACAATAAGCAAAATCAGTTAAAGTTCCGAAATATGAACATGTAAAACAAAAGAAAAAAATTAAAAATTACGGTAAATACTTTTTCATCTTCAAGTTCAGATACTTTGTTCCTTAAGCAAGATTGTGCCTCATTGTGATACCTTGCTAATGACTGGGAAACAGAAGGTCGAAGGTCCTGCACATGCAATACAAAATTATGGATCAATAATAGTCAATCATAACAACTTAATGTTCTTTGTACATCGCCAAATAACATTTTAATACATGCGAGGAATGATTTCCAACAGTAAAGAAGTAAACCGTTCCCCTTAAGCAAGCCTACTAAATTTTTTCTTTTTGTGCAGAGTCATAGTTAAAAATGCAAGAAAGTGTTCACTGACATGAATCAGGTCTGGCGTCAGAGATAAGAAACTGCGAAGTTCTTCCACTACAGAGGAGAGCGACCAAATAATATGCCTTGACTTTTCAAATTCCAATTTTATTTCCTCAGCCTCCGTTAATAAACTGATCAACCAATTTGATTCTTCGTGGAAAATGGTTAATGACAATAAATTCCTTGAAAAAAATTCCGAACAGAAACTCATGTATATGTTGAACCTCTACCCAGCTACCATGCAAGGATTTGCCAGAGCAAGGTTGACATGCGCTTGAGTTGCTTCTTCTCGTGCAAGCATTAGTTCATCACAAAGCTGTATTAAACATTAAAGTAAGCACATAAGTAATATATTGCAACTTCAAATGTATATGATTACATAACCAAACAATCTTAGGTCACAACAGAAAGTTTCTCAAGCTTCAATAAATCCTGCCAAGTGTCAAGTTTAGAGGTATCTTCTACAATTGATGTATCACATTTCACTATCCATTAATCCATATCTATGCCTCTGTTTAGACAAATTCTAGCCTAAATTAAGCTGTAAATAAGCAATAAACCCTGGTCAATCTTGATCTCCATTTCACTAACAAATATGCACCAGTGAGTACTCGAGCTAATGATGATTCAACCACAGAAGATGAATAAACCAAGATTCTACTCAAGCGTAGTGTAAAAAAAGGACCGGTAGGGATAATATAATCAAGAAAAAGTTCAACTCTGTTAACTCAATTACATGACAATATCAAAGCTCTGAAATTTCTCTCATCCATACAAAAGTAAGGAATTGTTCGATTGCCTCTGAAGGTCAGAACATGAACCTTTTCATATTTCTCCTGTGCAGATATAGTTTGCTCAGTTGCCAAATCGACTACAGATTTCAATTGCTTCTGGCTTGAGCATTTCTCCATCTCCAAAACAATCTGCATATCAATTCGATCGAGTTTACAACACATAAGATCCTAAGAGGAAAACTTATGTATTTCACTTGTTTCACTTATCCACAATATTCTCTACTCAGCAGAAATTAGATGAAGGAAGACAACGAGAACATTGGAAAACAAAAGCAATACACGAGGGGAAAACCTTTTCTTGAAGCTGATTTATCACAAGTATAGCATCTGAGTCCCTCAAACATCCCTTTCCATCTTTATGGGTTAAAGAATCTGTATTCTGTGCAGCACACTCTTTGCATTTCTGATCAGCCACCTCAAGCTTCCTCATTAGTTGATCAATTTGGATGTCACTCATTATCCGCTATAGAGCAAAAAGGCTAGTGATGAGAAAGAAAGCCTAAACACAGTCACCACGAATAAAAAATGAAGTAGGAAAAAACTAACTTCAGTTTCGAATTCTATAAGCAGATTTTCATAATCTGCTTACAGCTCGGCAAAGCCATCGCTCTCCTGCAAAAGAAGCAGTTAATCCCCAGAGAAAATTGAAAAATGTAAAGAAAAATATATAGCATGTTATGAACCATAGTTGAACTTCTTTTCTTGGGTGCAACTTTTCACCTACTGGTAACATGCAGCAGAGCATGAGGATCAGGAAGACTAGGATCTTCCAAAGCACTGCGTTTACAGTCTTCGTCTTGTTTGCTGCACTCATTAGTACTTTCTTCTTTAACTAACTCTTCAAATGGAAGAAGTGGCCCCACTGCTCTTTGATCTGTTCTTGCTGATTTCACTTCTGAGAGGTGCTCTTCAACTACAGGCGACAACTACGGCAACAAGGAAGAATGTCAATGGATTCTCATGGACATTACTAAAGCAGTAATTACTAAAATGTTAAAGGCAAACAAATGTTGTTCATACAGAATACATGGAGTCTTAAGATCTCAAGGCAACCGGTTGCTAAAAGAAATCCATATGATGTGGAAACAAATTCACAGTAAGTCCAATCAAGTTGTCTAAAATATATGTTGCACTCATTAGTAACAACTGCAAATACTAGCCCACGCTGTATAAGAACTGAAATAGCATGTTACCATAAAACATTATAAAAATGATAATTGCTTCCATTTAAGCATCAACACGTGGTAAAAGAAGATGTGAAAGTCCGAGTTTCGTAACTCATTGTCAGAGAAGTAAAATTGTCACCTCTTTTAAATTCTTCCTTGCAAGATTTCCAGGGCACCAGGTGTCGCGTCTTTTTGCCTACCATTCAGAACACACACAATACAACCATGTGGATGAAGTGTTATTATTTTTACTTTCTTCTAATAAATTGGAGAAAAACTATGTAAGAAGATTCCCATCTCCTGATCGTTAGAATCAGAAACAAGAGTATAGTTAGTGGCACGTTTTGAGAAAGAACGGTAAAACCGGAAAAGAGTGTCATGGAGAACAAAGAATAGACGGTGATAGTATATGCATGCTTCTTATCCATGAAGCATCAAAATGGTTCATCCAGGTTTGAAGAGTTGACAGGAAAGGAAAATAAAATACTGCATTAGCTTTGATCATGACTGCAAAAGGCTTATGAGAAGTAACAGATGCTTTCAACACAAATTGAAGGCAATTGGATCTATGATGTCACTGTAGGACATGACAGCAGCTATAACACAGCCCAGTAACAAAAATGCTTCACAAATTGCCACCAATTTAATAAATTATGCAAAAAGCGGTAAAGGTGAAAACATTATTCAGTAAAACAAAATTTTCTTTCCCCCCTTTTGCATATATTTCCCTTCAAACATAAATTTACATGAAAATGGACAAGCAGGGGCCTTGTTCTGGATATCTTGGTTTTTTCTCTGTGTGTATGTGAGAGAGAAAAACAACATAACAATTTCATACAGGATTCATCAGATTCAACAATAACAAAATAAAAAAAAAAAAAAAGAAAACAATATGAAAAAAGAACATAAATGTTTTAACTCCAAATCCAATTTCAAACAGGATTCATCAGATTCAACATCCACAGAATTTTATTACAGAGCACTTTTTATCTAGGAAAAAAGGCTCTAGGGAAACAAAGCCTCCGAGGGGCACGACGGTAACGGGCACTTTACTGCACAATCAAAAAGATTGTCAGATAGATCAAAGCACATTCTGATTTCTTTAAGTTTGTCACCACTGCATTTGATTCGAGGTACGGCTTTAGTAAGTCCGTGAACAGCGCTGCACAAATCGGTGACTAGATGCTTGGTGCCCCTTTTGAACCCATGACTAACCAGGAACTTCTCCATCGAACCCCCGGACATTGCGTCAACAGCTGATTTATAATCAAGAGCCTTCCTGAAATAATCCAGGGCACTCAAACCCAAAAAATACCCATGCCTTGTCCACTCCCAATTCCAAAAAAAGTCGTCACTGCCAACTAGATTTGGCCACTCCCGGTCCAATCGCCGTTCAGTCAACCGCAGCGTCCCCCAATCAATAATGTCTCCCCCATTAAGTTGAGAAACTGCATTGAAGGGCTTGTTTGGTGACATAGTGTCGCCTTTTTGGTTAATCGGCCATAATCCATGAATGGTAAACCTTTCTGGTATAGGAATAAAACAATCCGAACGACTGGCGCAACACGTCGGCGGCCAGTGGATGACGAGCATCCAGTGGGACTGAATTGTTGCTCGAGTGTGTTTGTTCAGGACATATTGACCAACGGCTATGCCAAGTCCAACAGCGGCGCATTTAGCCGCATTGGGGACCGGGGGGAGTTTGGGCATTAATTTCTTCAAAAGAAATAAAAATAAATAAATAAATAATAATAATAATAATAATAATAATAGTAATAATAATAATAATAATAATAATAATAAACTAAACCTGACGCCGGCGAATGCGAGAACCGATTTTAGCTCGAGCAAACTGTACCCCCCCCGCCGAAGCTTCGACAGCGGTGCAAACCTCAAATCCAGACGAAATATCAGAAAAAACAGCAGCGAGCAGGTTCGTTGCAACTGGACATGTACTGCTCTCCACGGACGGGAATGTGAGAAGGAGACTGTAGTCAGGCGGAGGCGCGTTCGCGTCCGCGACGGCAACAGCTCTCTCGCTGGGGAAGGCCGGGCACGAACCATAACCCGTAAACCCAACACTCTCGCCGATAGAGAAGGCAGAGTACGGCCGTGGCTCCGCCACGAACGGGAATCTGAGAGGAAGAATGTAGTCAGCCGGAGGCGCGTCCGGGTCCGCGACCGCAAAGGCTCTCTCGCTGGGGAAGGCCGGGCACGAACCATAACCCGTATCCACGGCACTCTCGCCGATAGAGATGGCAGAGTACAGCCGTGGCTCCGCCACGACGGCGGAGAGTGAAAGGAGCAAAACGACAAGGGGGAAAACCATATCCAGATTTTTTTTTTTTCGTTTGGGTGGGCTTTCACGAATTTCCGCACTAATCTCTCTTTAGAGTGTGGGCATGGACCGGAGGCTTAGTACGGGATGAATGGGGCAGATGGAGTTCCGGTTTTGCTCAATCATAAGTGTGGAGCTACAGGGCTTATTTCATGGGTTAAATTTGGCATGGGACAAGGGGCATTGGATGGTTGTAGCGGAAGTCAATAATAGTAGTGTGGCGACGATGGTGCTTCGGGATGCAGTCCCAACCGGGGTTACCAGTTGTATCAGTTCAGGAACTTGTGACTTGTTGGCTAGGAATGAAGAGTGGAGATTCGCCATATCCATCGAGAAGAGAACTTCGCAGCAGACTTCCTCGCGTCGTTGGCCTCAACCATGCCAAGTGGGCTTCACGTCCTAAATGACCCACCCACGGGGTTAAACCGTGGTTAGATCACGATGTCATAGGGGTTTGTTATGCTCGTAATATAGTAGTCTAAGGCCACGGCTTCATTCTCTGTACCAAAAAAAAAAAAAATGACTGTTCAAGTCGACTAGTTAGAGTGTGTTTGTAAATTAATAAATTATAAGTGTTTTTAGTTAATTGTGGTTTTAAAAAAAATATATAATTAGTTGTTAGTGGAATTTTGAGTTTATACTAAAATAAACTAATTAAAGTTGATTTGATATAAAAGCAGAAGAGAGATGCTATGAAGTGATTGTTAGTTAAAATTAGGTGAGTTGATGAATAGAGAATTAAAGTTGATATGATGTGTAAAAATGATATGTTGTTATTATTTAATTATATTGATAATATTGAGAATAGTTAAAGTTGAGTTAGATTTTGAATATGAATTAATTTGGTTTGAGTAATTTGGTTTACAAATTCAACCTTAATATTTGAGTTCTAATGGTACTTTAAACTAATATTCGATCTTGTGCACTTACACAAATGTTTAAATTATTATTAGTTATATGAATATATATATTGCACAAATATTTATACTATTATAAGTTATATGCATATATATAATATTAAAATTATAAGTTAGATAATAGTATCACATTTAAATTTTTGTCATTAATGAAAATAAAACATTATAAAAGTATTCAACTTTATCACTATATTGATTACATAAAATGAAATTGATAACGTAGTTTTCATAAATTTGAAAGATCATGACCCGTTATTTATCTCAAAAAGTATTATTATTATTATTATTGTTATTATTATTATTATTAAAAGTTTAATAAGTTTGGTTTACCACTAAAGACAATTAGCTTATTAAAAAAATACTTAAGAGCAATAAATAGTTTATGAAAAATATTTCAATATAATTTTTTATACTTGTTCAACTTTCATAGATCATGTAGTGTGAATTATAATTGGTTAGTTTTAGTAATAACTATTATATAATAGAATAATTAAAAGCAAAATAACACTTTAATTAACCATGGTATTAAAAAAAAAAAAAAGAGTAATTGATTAAGTTTCATTTACTAGTTTAAAAAAAATTATTGGATTATAATGAAAAAAGGTGGAAGATCTAAATTGTTATATATATATATATGTATATATATATACATATATATATAGAGAGAGAGAGAGAGACTAGTGGGGCCTTGGCTGTGCACGCACAGTCGGCACGAGTTTAGTCTATAATTATGAAACAAGGATCTTTTTCTTTTTTTTTTTTTGTTGGGTAAAAAATTATTGCTTAAAATGTGTCCAACCTTATACATATATTTTTCGATCTCGAAGAGTACACATATCGATCACCAGTAAATTTTGTTCTAATTGTATATTTATGTTTTTTTTTTTTAATTTTAAATTGTAAATACTAGCTTTTATTATTTATAAATGTTGGTTTCTAGCTTATTTTTGTAATTTATTTGTAGATTGTAATTCTAATGATCTTGTTCGGTTGTTTGGCAATCAAATGAAACTTATTTAAATAAAGGAAACTTATAAACTAATCAAATAAACTATAAACTATTTTATTTTCTCTACCAAACATAGCCTTAATCCACCACAAGCCATAAGCCCTCATTGACTTTTAGATATTATTATTTATTTACATATTTATTTATTTTTTCTTAGTAAATCTGATTCAAGATTATGCCAATTGTATGCTTTATACTTTCTTTTTTTTTTTTATTTATTTATTATTCCTTTTGTGAATGAGAAAAAACTTGAGAAAATGGGAGAGGATGATTCTGCCCTATTCCTGTCGAGATTGAAAAACATGTCCACAACTACTTTTTTTTCTTGTTAAATGTCTTTAGCCCAAAATTAGCATATGATTAAATAACATGATTTCAACTAACACTATGTCGTGATCATTAATTAATCCATATTCCTAATTAATGCGAAACCATAGATTTTTATTCAATTAATGATTTGTTCATCAAATCTTGATAAATGTTGTTCAAATCATCAAACGTCAAACATGTTAGAAATAATCAAGTCAATGCAGTCAATGGAGTAATCACCACTTTGCCATGTCAGATTAAACTCTCCAGCAATGCAGATGATTGTGATGGTGACCTGCACAAGAGACAAGCTGCAGGTTCTCTCATGCAAAGACAAAATGCCACACTATTGGGATAGTACAAGGTTGTTGAGGATTCTTATCCTCTTAGGCTAGGTGTCATTGATCTAGTGCATATGTCTTGTATGTAGGGCTGAGATCATTTTGTGTATTGCCTATTTATGACTTGTCTTCCTGTAGCAGCATATTCATTCAGATTTTGTAAACCCTAAAAGGATTGTGCATTGAATGAAAAGTTAGTTCATTTTCACAGCTTTATCTTTCTTCCTTAATCATGAATATCAACATTTCACCAAACGCTTATGAAATGAGAGACTGAAAAAATTTCAAACTAAGAGTTTTTTTAGACATGTATGTATATTTCATAGATACGGATTTTTATTGCTATTTGTTTATTATATATAGATTATCAGTCCCAAACTAATTATACTTTTATATCCAACTATTAAATTAATTAAGATAATTGGTTCGAATTGACTCAGTTCATTTGATAAATAAGTCGACCTAGAGCTCTTCAGAGCTAAAACGTGCCATGCCAAGGCTCAAATATAATGATTTATGTAATTTTCTATAGCTCGACTAGTTAATTAGGCTCAAGTTTAGCTTGTTGGTAATTAGTATTAATAAACAAGTTGAACCCAGATTATTCCATTAATTTATGTTTTTATTGCGTAATCCTTTCAATACGTAGACATAGACCTGCTTGTGGTAGGTAAGGTCATTGGAGAAATATTGGAGCTATAAGATCCAATGGACTTAAATTATTTACATCAATAGAGAAATTGCCAATGGGTGTGAGTTTAGGCCAACATTGCGCGGTTTGTGGATAGATTTACGTCAGTTAGTGCGCTAAATTTGGATATATTATTTTGACTGACTTGATTTGCACTTTGTAGCTCATTGACTGACAAGCCTATGTTAGGCGCACCGACTCGAGAGGCTTAAGGATAAAGTGTGGCTCGCTGTGAGATATTTTAATAACAACTTATATAGATCGATTAATCTGTACAAAATAACGGCAAAGTGTAATTGTAAGAAGGTGTGCATCTTTCTTTGATTTAAATGATCTTTTTATATAATATTCTTTTAACCGGCTATATAAACCAGTTAAAGCCATTATGTGGTGACACATTTATATTGTTTAATCCTTGTAATCAGGAAAAAGAAAATCAGCCATTGTTCACTTGGAGGACTGGTTTATCTTTGAGGGAAGAAGCTTTTAAGTTCCTAATCATCTTTCAGACAGATGACACGTATCAATCCAACCATGAGCAATCAGGAGGTTGTTCTCCTTGTTCCCTGCCTTTTAGGTCTAAAAATGATTACTCTAACTATCATGAGGAGAGGTATTATTTCTGTAGTGATTTTATTGTTGTTTCTTTACTCGCAGTTGGGAAAGAGTGATATTTGATCTGTAAAATAATGGTATTCCTAACTTGATTCATTATTATTTTTAGGGAAAATGCTACCCGGTTTCAATCTATCTGAACCTCCAAAAGGAACAATGTAAGTTCACCAATCCTGAGTTCACATGTTGGTAATTATGAATATAATTATTCATGGGTCCCTGACTAGAGCACCTTCTCCTGAGCCCACTCATCGTAACTGAATGGATTTTTCATGCTCACATAATTGTTTTATTTTGTGTGTTGGTGTGTAATTATGCAAGTGGTAACTTTAGTTATGTAGGTAACTCTAGATTCCAAGTTTATTCATGGTATTTCTGAAGAATTTTGATATTCATTTGTTATTTAGGACCTCAATTCTGTAGGACCAACCATTGTTAATCCTTCAGTAGTTGTCACACACGATTGTTTTTATAATGTTTATTAATTTTTTAGGAATCTTTTTGACAAATCTGGCAGTTGGAAAACGACCCGTGAGGGTTTCTGAAATAGTTCTGTAGACTTGAATCCCTTTATAAATCACTAAATTTGCAAATATTTATATATATAGTAAGCAGGGCCGTCCCCAGAAATTTGGAGGCCCCAGACAAATTTTAAGTTTTCGAATATCCCAATTTTAATTTGCGTGGTAGGGCTATTTGTAGATAGAATTATACAAAAAAAATAATAATAATAATAATTAAACAAAACTATTAAATAAATAAATAATTGAAAAAATAGTTTTTTTTTTTATTTTTCTAGACATTGGAAAAATTACCTTTAATAAATTATAAATTGTACTCAAGCAATCACGAATACCACAAGAAGGAGAAACTAAAAATCATATTAACAAAGAATACTTATTCTCATACAACTTGTTATTCCCGAACATCATAATAAAAAAAAATAAAAATTTTAGGGCCTCAAATTCCTACACAAAATACATATTTGCTATTATCCTCTTCATTAATTAGTCACTTCATTTGTGTAATGGACCCCAAGTTCATATTTAGCTATTAGTCTCTTTATTTGCAAAATAAACAAAACCAAACAAATACTTAAACATTAAAAA